ACTGACAGTTGTGACTGATCCAGGTTAGAATAGAAGAAAAATATGGAGGATAATGCAACTTTTTATTTAAAAACAAGATAAAACAGACAATCTTAAACAATAATGAACAGAGGACACTCTGAGACATTCTTTAAACTTAGAACTGAGCTATCCCCTGAGATCACCTTTTAGTAAAATAGCAGAGTGGAACACAAAATAAAGATAATACCTATATAAGATTGGTGCCCTACTTAGAAACCATCAATATGTGACCAAAAGTTCAACAATTTCTCAAAGGTAAAGATGAGAAGTTAGCAAATCCCTTGGGCACTATGCTACCAGAACTCCTAAAGATGAGAAGATACAAAATCAGGAAAACTAGAATACTGAAAAAGGAACAAACAGAATGCAATTAAATAGAATGTTGACACATTCTGATAATGGAAGTAATGTCACTGAACAATTTGTGTGGAAATTGTGCCACAAGAACATAAATTATTTTGTAAATTTTCACCAAAAACTCAATAAAATATTATTAAATTAAAAAAACTAGAGACAAAAAATTTTTATTGAATAGTTGCATAATCTTTTTTTTAAAATTAAAGAATTAGAAAGAAAAATTAAGTCACTTGAAATCCCCTACCTATCAGTTACCATTGATAATATTTTCATGTCTCTCTTTGTGGATTTTTCATATGCATCTATTTATCTGTATGTAATTATAATGGGATTATTTTCTAATTCTGTCTCTGTAATCTTCATTTTTTCTCATAATATATATGTCTTTTTGTGTCAGTCAATAGAAATCTATGTTATTTTAAAGTGGCTATACAGAATTTTCTTGTATATCCTTGCCTTTTACCTGTGAACCCGTTTTTGCCGATTTTTCACTCTTATAAACCAAATCCTGCAGTTAGTTGTTTTCTTAATGGAAAAGTATTAAACAAAGAGGCAGCATGGGGGCCCTTTGGTAATTATAGGCAAATGCCATACTTTGTATTTCTGTGTCACCCAGAGCACCTTATGGCAGCCTCCCTAATAGGCAGACACTTGTTGGTTGCTGAATTTGACTGTGAAGAGGATGAGGGTATGAGTCACAGCCATGACCTTATGATTTCTCTTCTGACCTAAGGCCATCAGCAGACAGGCTTTAAACCTCTGGTGGCATAGTGCCTAAGGCATTTGACTGCTAACCAGAAGGCTGACGGTTCAAACCCACCAGCCACTCCTGGGAAGGAAGATTGAGCAATTTACTTCTGTAGAGATACCGCCTGGGAAACCCAAGGAGGGATCGCTATGACTCAAATCGACTTGATGGCAGTGAGTTTGGCTTTAAAATACATACATTAATAACGTCAAGGCTTTTATCAGACTTTGTGTTACCTGTAACACTTACAGTTGTGTTGGCATAACACTTAGGTTTTTAAAGCTCTTTTCACATATGTTGTCATATAGATCTTGGGATGGCTATTATTATTACCTCTGTTTTGCAGTTGAGAAAACTGAAGTTAAGAGAATATAAGTATGCTTCATTCTATACCATGCTGCCTCTTTGTTTAACTTAACTGGATAACTTAAAAATATATGTTAACTTGGGCATTAGTACCTATAATGTTTTAGGTACCAATGATATAGAAAATAGAGTAAACATTTTATTTGTTTTTTTTTAATGGAAGAGTTGATAGCTGTTTTACAAAACAAACTTAACATATATTTTTTCCTAGAATGAATTATGCCAATGCTTAATTAACTAGATTTTCTAGTAATATGTAAGTTAATTTAAAAATTCCAACACTGAACTAGTGGACCATGTGAACCTCAGCCTATATGACCGTGAGACCAGAAGAACTAGATACTGTCCAGCTACCACTGTCAACTGCTCAGAAGTGGATCTATGCAGGAGATCCTGGATGGAATGGGAAAACAATGTGGAACAAAACTCAAAATCATAAAAAAGACTAGGTGTACTTGTCTGATAGAGCCTGGTGAGACCCCTGAGACTATGACCCTTAGTTTCCCTTTCAGTCTGGAACTCATTCCTGTGGCTTCTAGCCAAACAATAGATAGGTATATAGGGTAAACATTTACATCAGGTAGGCGCTCTGGTGGCGTAGTGCCTAAGGCACTTGACTGCTAACCAGAGGCTGGTGGTTCAAACCCACGAGCCACTCCTTGGAAATAAGATTGGGCAATCTACTTCCGTAGAGATACTGCCTCAGAAATCCATGGAGGAGGTTGCTATGAGTTGGATCTGACTTGATGGGAGTGAGTTTGGTTTGTTTTTTTAATTTACATCAGGTAGATAAACTCCTTAGAAGGATCAATCTTGGGAGAACAGAAGGGTAGTATTTGCACAAGGAGAAAGCTCAGGGGGCAGGAATGCGTAGGAAAGAAGGGCACAGAGTAAAGGTAACTACAGGAGGAAGTGGGAAGAGATCTGTTACATTGAGGGGAATTGCAGTCAATGTTATGAAACAAAATGTGTATGACCTGCTGTATGGAAAATGAATTTGCTCTGTAAACGTTCACTCAAATCACAGTAAAAATTAAAAAAAAAA